TTGCGCCTCGTGAGCTCTTTTAGAGTCACGTAATCATATAGAGGCCCCCGCTTTTTACGGCAACATCCCGGAGATACGAAGCCGTCGCCCAATACGGGACATGTCTCTGGTCTAGATCCCCTAGGGCCGTCCAGGTGTTCCTAAATGTAGCCTAAGTCTCAATCTTTCAGGATATCGTCACCGAATCGAAATGGTCTATCATTTCTGATGAACAAGCGTCAATTTCGATTCAGCATGGCACTACTTTTCTACTTCGATCGCACAATAAGGTGATTAAGTTTAACACCGATGTAATTTTCTTAGAAGCATAAGGCAGGCACGATAATTTGATACTTGCTAAAAAATAGTAGCAGGGATGCAACATAGTGGAAAAATGACGAAAAACCGAAGTAGAATGGTGAAAAACCTGCGGAAAAACCTTTGTTCCTGTACGGCACTGTACGAGCATTTTTGAACGGTTTCCCGTGGCGTGGTGCCAACACCGCTTTTTTACGCCTGCTGCTGGGTCACTACAAGCACTATTCAACTGTTGCAATGAGGAAAAGGAATAGACGTGGGTGGCAAAATACAAAAGCCTAATGGCTTGTTTCGTCCCAAATTTCAGACAAGCCATTGCTATTCGTCAACGCTGGGAACCCCAAAAGGCCAGAGCACGGCAGCCCCGGGATTTCAACAGTACTTTTTTTTTCTACTCGAGTATAAGGAGTTATTGGGCAGCCTGATTGTGAACATGACATCCGCTTTTGGTGATGATGCCATATGGCGTCAAAGGGTGACAGTATGGCGTCACCGCCATCTCTAGATGCGATCCAAGATCTCGGAAGATACTGTTCAGAGCACCTTTTATCATGACGGTGGCTTTATCTGCCTTCATTCGAGCCAGAATCCTCTGCTTCTTCTTGTAACTGAGCCTAACTAGCCAGCCGCAAAAAGACTGATTGGCACTGGAAATGTTGCATCGATCTTCGAGGTCCTGACTCAACCGACTTAACAATTTCGAGGTGGTATTAACTGCAATTCTTCCTCATCTAAGCTGTTTAGTTAGTACTTTTCCATTCTCAGCGTCTTCGAGAACCAGTCTGGGATATTGTTCACAGAGCTTCAGGACTTGAAGGCGTCTAGTAGGACGCGAATTTTCGAGAACACATCTTGAGAACCATTTCTCAGAAACTCAGTGTGTCAGGAACTACCGAATATGCATTCACTTGGTATCGTCACCATCAGTTGGGTCGTCTTCGAAAGGAACGGACCATCCCATCTGCGGCGTTTCCATCACTGGTTGTTGTATTTCCTAAATCGACCACTAGGCGATCATTATTGGTAGAGCAAGATAAGTGGAAGCGGGCTCATCCCGCCCTCTCCGCACCGCCCTCGACTGATTGCTATGATTGTAAACTGTAGTGGATCAACAATACGAAGAGAGTCTCCATGTCCTCAGCATTTTGTCATAAAATTTCATTTCGATGCTCTTTTTAAAGTTCAAAAGTTGTCCAAAATATCATGAACAGGTGTTATTTTGTCAGGGAGAAGTTTTGTAAGACTAATATATTTTTGAATTTCATAACACTTTTCAGGATGATGATGCAGGCGTACAACTTTTATGTACCATAAGTTCCTTGCCATTTTTCAATCTCACTGAGCAACAACGTTCGCCAAACAATAAATTTGCTCTAAAAATCAGAAACGAGTCATCAGTATGAGAACTTCTCTTTGTTGTTATTGAACACCTTTATTCTGAAGAATTTATTTCGAAGCAGCGAATTTTATGAATGATTTCAAATGGATAACTGGTGCCTATAAGGCTGTTACTTCTGCCCATCTTTACTGATATTAC